TTTATTTTGAATATTTACTACACACAGTTACTACATCCTGGTGACTCTTACATTTCATTGACTCCTGATCTTTGGACCTAAATACAGTTCCTACAATTTTAAGACAAATAAGTCCTCTAAATAGTTATTTTCTTGGACATTTTTACTTAAGACTTTATTTTTATCAACTAATTTCAAAAATATTATTAAAATTGGAGGTATTAAAGAGTCCTATCTACATTAAATTTTAATTTGGCGAATGGCACAAAAAACAAGGAAAACAGTTGCATCATTTCTCGACTTTTAAAATATCATTTTCTTTTTTATTTTACAAATATATTTATATCTTGCCTTAAAGAACAGTTTCTTCATAGATGCTCCTGATTTGCTGTTTGCATGTACAGATATAACCAGGATTTGACCTCTTCTTCAGCAAGGTAATCAAATCCTCTGGCTTCCACTGTACTCAACTGTTTGTCAGAGGGGAGGAGTATGGCCATGCTATAGTTGATATGGTTTGTGTTTCTCCCAAGACTTCCTGTGTTGAAACTTAACCCTCACTGTGAGGTATTAAAATGTGTAAGTTGAAACTTACCATGATGCTAATAGGTAAGCCTTTTGGCAGATGATTTGGATTAGATAAGGTCATTAGAGTAGAGCCTCATAATTGAGTCCTGGTGGCTGTATAAGACAGGGAGAGAGCAGAAGAAAACCACATGCACACACGCTCCCCATTGTTTGCCATGTAATACACTGTGCTGCCTGGAGATTCTGCCAGTAAAAGAACCACAGCAAATCTGGCTCCTGGACCTTCCAGCTCCAGAACCATCAGCCAAAATAAGCCTTTTTTCTTGATGAAATAGCTGGCCTCTGGTATTTCATCATAGTAAAGAAAAACTGATACAAGTCACTTCTATTGTAATTCAAGATATTGAAACTGGAAGACACTTTGAAAAATATATAATTTAACACCTTAATTTTCATGTAAGGAAATGTGTCCAGAATGACAAAGAAATGTGCCAAGTGGCACACCACTGGCTTGTCAATGGTATTAGTATTAGAGGTTCCAATTTCTTGGTCAGTGTCCTTTCCATGATATCATACTATTTATTACCCCACAGAAGAAAAGCCCAAATTATTCTTTAAATATTCTGATAATGATGAGAATCCATTACTCAAGCCCTTATTCTTTTGGCCTATAGTGCTAATTTTTCAAGTTCTTCAAATATTTGATTCAACTCTCAAGATGAATATTGATGCCTTAAGAATAGAGATCTGTATCTATGGGATTCCTGTAGAAATGTGTACCAAAAGTTGGTCCATGGTTACGTATTTTGAAAAGGCAAAACCCTATTTATGTATGTATAAATTGTTTCAATCTTTGCAATTTTTTGTCCACAGCCTCTTAGTTAGGAAGTCTATAATACAATCACCATATCTGATCCACCTTCACATTCCCAGAGTTCCTGAGTCTACTAATCAAAACTGTGGCAGCAGCTAAGAAAATGTGAGTAGGAGGGGCACGAATGACTAAAGGCCACTTGGTTAAGGCTTGAAAAACACACTCTTCTGAATCATGTAGTGTTAATTTTGTTTTATAGTCCTTATGTATGACCTCTTACCATTTTTCAAAAATACCCAAGGATCAACTGAATGAGTTTTTTAGAAGCTAGGATAATAAAATACATGATAACAGGTGAAAGCAAATGGAGAAAGCTGCTTACCATTAGTTCAATTTTCTGGCTCATTTTTGTGAAATTTTTGGAACCCTCTCTTCCAAATTCATCATATACTTTGTCACTTGTGAATGGCAACATACTATAGTAATTGTAGGTCTTCCTTTTATCTACAAGAAAAGAGACAACAACTCATAATAATTTTTATCAGATGCATGAGGAGTACCATTATTATTCCACTTGGCGGTTTCTAGAAAGACTAAGACAGGAAGGAATGCTCCTCTGCCGGACGTCATCTTCATCATCTTTCTTCAGGCTTATCTCAGAATAAAAGACAACAACATTTATCATCATGTACTTCAGCATGTTAAAACTGTGAGAAATACCTGGTGTTCCTAGGCCATTGAACAAATATGGCCCTGTGGGTGTGAGCGATTACTCCTGTGTTTTTCATTCCTGAATAAACCACTATGATGGGAACTCATGCTATCTGAGCACATAGATAAGGATGATTTAGAAGCTTTCTAAGGTTGAATGCTTTTTCTTAATGTTTCAACAGCAGATTTCTCTCCAATTCAGTAAATGGCACGTCAATTCTGGTCACAAGGACCTAGTGTGAGAAAATCTGTTTTAGCTGAAGAGATAAGAGTAGAAATTAAAATGCTAGGAGCTCAGAAAAGACAGCATAGCCCTATGGTGGCACTGTCAGCTCACTGGGCTCCCTTGCCACTCCATTGATTTCCTCCCACCATCCTTAGAGGTGTCTTGTACACCCCTTAGCCACTGTCTCTACTCAGCATCCAATTTAAACAACCCACTTTTGGGGCCTATTAATGACCTAGGACAGTATAAATTTCCCTCTTCTTTCCTACACACAAACCAAGGTCAGAACCGTAAGAGATTTATTTATTCATTCAATGAATATTAATGCTGACTACTTTCTTGTGACAGACATTAAGAATACAATAGTGTCCAAGAGAGTTTCATATAGTTATTATAGAAAATGGATTGTCCTCATCTAATCTCAACCTCTCTCTTCTCTCTATTCCTTCACATTCTTTTCCACTTCACTTAAACCACAGAGGAAAAGGAGACTCACCCTGAGCACCAGTATCTCAGGCACATTTGTATATCTCATTTAATGTGCAATGACTCGATGGGAAGGCATTATGATCCATATCTAGGGATTCCAATCTGAGAAATGTAAATATTTTGCCAAACCTCAATGTGACATACACAGAAAACACAGAATTAAGCCAAGGTCTAATTAGTGAAGCACAGACTTTTTTTTAATACACTGCTTCTTGAAGTAAAATACAACCAATGCCAGTCTGAGCTGTGGGATTTTTAAGTATAAAATTTATACACAAAAACCTGTGGATAAATAGCAAAAGAACCACCTAGTCATCCAGAAGACTCGATGGGACAGAGAATGAAATTGAAGCCAACCTCTAACAAGACCTGGAAATAGGTGGCAATACGTGAAGAAAGTGTCAGAGTGAAGATACGGAAAGTCCAGTCTCCTCGTGATGATGATCTTAGTGAAGACTGAAGGAGGTTTTGCCCCTCTACCATCCTTTCACCTCGCTCTTCCTGAATGACCCTGCTATGAATGGCCAGGGTAACATGAAATTCAGGAATGTCCCTGGCAATGCACAGTCTCAAGTAGGGTTTTAATTTACTGAAATATTAAAAAATAATGTAACTATCTTTCCAAACTACTGTTCCATTATATTTGTATTTTTTTTTACATCTATGTGTAGTCCTGTGTGGCTTGATTCATTGTTCTACAATGCTGCTTCTCAAAGTACAGAGTATGAATGGACCACTTGTGGATCCTGTTAAGCATGCAGATTCTAATACATTAGGTCTAAAGTTGGATCCAAGAATTTGTTGGTGGGAATGTAAACTAGTACAAACATTATGGAAATCAGTATGGAGATTTCTCAAAGAACTAAAATTAGAAATTCTGTATCATCCAGCAATCCTCCTGCTAGTACCTTCCCCAAAGAGCCTAAGACATCATACTACAGTGACATATGTACACCAATATTTATAGCAGTACAACTCATAATAGTTTGATCCTGGAAACAGCCTGTTTACCCATCAACAGACAGTTGGATAAAGAAAATGTGATATCTATATATAATAGAATACTACTCTGTTATAAAGAATGACAGATTTGAGACATTTATAGGAAAATGGATGCACCTGGAAAATATAATGCTAAATAAAATAAATCAGACACACAAGCTTAACTACTGTATGTTATCTCTCATTTGAGTGTGGCAAAGTACAAACAAAGAGAATAATAAAGGATGGATAGAAGGAGTCAAGGCGATGGATCTCTAGGGAAGGGGTCCAAGGGAAAAAAGCATGAGGAGTGAGAAGAAGAGGAAGAGGAAATAGGAAAAAAAAGATATGCCATCCACAGGGACCTAATAACCTCAATTAATGTAAACATTATATGCCATAACATAAGATTAATAGTATCAACAAGAATGAAAAAGTGGGATAGAATTGGAGGGGGCAAGGGAAAAGGGATTTAAAGAGAGAAGAAACAAGTTGTGGTATGTACATATAATCACTCCCCAAGATGATTGTAAACTGCATGAACTGCAAACATGTACTAATGAATTAAAATTTTTTTAAAAGTTTGTATTTCTAAAATGATGCCAGGTGGTACTGATGTATACTCATACACACTAAATAGTATAACAGACCCTTCAGTAATCTTCTGTCTAGATTTTATGGATTATTTACTAGATTAAATTATTTTAAATTGTCATTTATACAAGTGAAACATGGTCAAATGTTGGCAATGTCAAATGGTTTCAATTATGTAAACAACTTACCTACACTCAAAATTTTACTTTGCTCTGTAGATTGAAAATAGGCCAGTGAGTGTTAAAAACATATTTCCAGCTTCCAGAATTATATGGCATGTCTAGTTATTTAAAAAGATGGGCAATATTAACACAAAAGTAATATGTTTGGATGAATACAAATGTGTTCATAATTTCTAGCAGGTTTGTGATTCTGTAACTTGCAATTATGTTACTCATTAACAGATTTACCTTCTGACATCAAAATCATAGAGAAGCAAAAATGGAGCCACAAAAGATTTGAACACAGACTACACACAGAATTTTAAACTGGGCTTTGTGTAGTAAGTGTCAAAATAATATTTTACAAATCAAATCACCTTCCTCTATATTTAGATATTTCTAACAACAGATTTGTTCGGTTTGCATTGGTTATTTTAGCAAGGGGACTCCTAAATGCTCATGGTTATACCTACTGTTTTATTAATTTATGTTCCCAAACAGAGGGCAAGTCACAAATGTAAGACATTGCAATAATCGTTGCTTATCCAGGTGTACTGTGTGGGCAGTGCGAGAGTTGTGTGGTGTATTTCTGAACTCATCATCCAAACAATGAGATCCAGGAACAAGTTACAGGAAAAATTTTTCAGGTTTTCACTGTGTTCATATGAATAGACTTATAATCTAATAAAACTTGACTTCTAAAGGGGCAAAGGAGACAGCAAGAAACATTTTCCTCACAAAGGTCATCAGGGACTTAGCATTAGTAGGGATTTTTTATGAAATCAGACAATCTCAAGAAAATATGGTAGGTATGATTCATTTGTTTATGATTGTCAATCACTCACTTATAAAACACCTAGCATGTGCCAGAATTCTGCAAAGTTCTGGAAATATTAGTGAATAAACTATAGTCTTAGACATCTATGAGAAGAAATAATGATGGTTAAAACATGATAGGACTCACTATGTTCCTAACAAGTCTGTAGAATTGTAGTTATTTTAGGATTCTCTTTTATTAAAAGCATGATTCAGAGAGTTCCCTCTTCTTAAAATGAATATATCTCAAATTTAAAGACCTGCATATGGGCAAATTCTACAACACACATGCACATATGTGCATTAGCCCACACACATACACACACACTTCTGTTTTAAATATTTATTTATTTAAACTACTTAGAAGTTATACTCTTTGCTTTGGAAATTAAAATTGGATTTGTGTGGGTAGTGGAAGAAGATAACCAGGTTACAGATCACTCTTTTTATAGAAAGCATGTTTAGCAAATTCCCCATTAAATTGAAATCAAGTGATTAACTTCTATGGTTTCAGGACCTTGAATATCAAAGCATAATCTAGTCACATGGAGGTATCAAACTAACAGGTCATAGTTGAGTCAACTAATTAAAATCCAAAGCAGAGTAAAAGGAAACTTCAGAAGGGTTGTTATATTATTGAAGAATAGTTTGGAAGTACCCTGGAGACATTTCTAATAACATAGCAACTGGCAGTTCACATGGTAGTGAGATGTCTGATAACCATAGAGTGAGCCTGTTTATAATTAACCCTCTCACCATATCCTGTCCTCTTTAATCACTTACAACATATCCCAAGATAACATTTTAAATAATAGAAAGAGGTACTTACTAAACACTCTACCACTATGAACATTTTCCAACTCACTATTGCTGAATAAAGCCTATTTCTCCACAATCCTTAGTTGTGTAATTGGTTTATTTGGATATCAAGTTCTCAATGAGTTAAAGTACTTTAAATCAGAATGATTGCCCTGTGACTTCAAATAACTCAAGATATTGGATTCTAGTTAAATTGTGGTCTTCCTCAACACTCAATTAGCACTTATTAATTAATATGAAAATGAGTATACTATTCCCGGCAGGAAGAATTGCCACATCAAAGTCAGAAGGAAGAATCTTAATGGGTTTGTGGGATTAAAAGAGGCATGAAGCAGGCAAAGATTTCTTTGTCTTGGCTGTCCAAATGAATCACAGGAATTAATGAACAAGCCTGAGGCATGCAAAGCAGGAAGCTACAGGAGGAAGTATGTGGGGTAAATCACATGCTGCTGGGGCAGCTCATACTTACTGTATCTCACGTAATGAACAGTGAGTCCAATGCACACTGCCAGCACAATCAGGGATAAAAAGATGATGAGGCCAATAACCCAGGGCCGCACACAAGCTTTTTTCCTGGCCCTCACCACAGCTATCCTGAAAAAGAAAGTAAATACAGCAGATGGGTTATATCACAATGAACAGCACATCTATGCTTCGGGTAAAACAAATACTTCCGGGGAGTGAAGGATATTCAGATAGTAGTGCACTGCTTGGTTGGAACATGGCCTGATTCCCAGCTGCTGAGGTCAGTTTTGGTTCAGGCTGCCTGCTCTGAGGTGAGCAATTTAACCTCTCTGTGTCTGTCTCCTCATCCATTAAAACAAAGATGAGAGTAACAGTACCTATCTCATAGAATTAGTGTGAGGATTAAAGGCTCTGTGTATAAAGTGCCTGCATGCTGCCTCCCTGGCCTGTAGCAAGTGCTATGTAATTATTAGCTATTTCTTATTGAGCCAGTTATATACAAGCTATAAAATAGCTGGGTGCCTGCTTAAAGTGTGTTTCTAGCACTCTAGAATTTTAAACAGGCTGCAAAATTCGTTATAACTCGAACCATTCCAGCTTCCAGATAGAATTTTTAATATTATTCTACTCCTAATTTTCTGATTTATTTCCAAACCAAACTTGGAGGAAGCACACAAGAGATTACCAGAGTTCTCTTTTTAAAAACCTGAGTGTTTGAGCTAAAATTTACCTTGAAGCTTGAAATTTTTTCTGCATGAGACGTCCTCAATATTTTCCACTTACTCTGCCTGTAAAAACACATGCTACTGAAACGCGTTGATCAAACTGGTTTTCATTTGATTGGTAAGTGGCCACTCCCTTGGATTATAAGCATGTTGAAAAGCCACAGAAAATAAAATAATAAGTGAGAGCTGGCTAAGGAGTTTGTCTGTGATACCATTGTAAATTTTTGAAGTTATGACAGGAAAGTAGAGAGAAACTGAGAGAAGAGGAAAAGGACCATAAGGAGGGAGAGGAAAAGGGAAAGGAGGTAATGAAGGGTGAAAAACAATCACATTATGTATATGCATGTGCTCATATACTGAAATGAAATCCAATTTTCTGTAATAAAAAGTAAGTAAATAAATTTCTTATGCTCTTATGAAAGTAAGTGGATGCCCTTCTTTCTTTCTTTATTTCCCCCTAGAATTCTGCCTATTTGGTGCATGAAGACTTGAAGGAAATTATGTGATTCTCAAGGTAGAGCATTGAGTTTTCAATAGGAATAAAGAAAAATGCAAGTCTACCCCTTTCATTATCAGCTGTGTAAATTGAACAAATCATTTAGCTTCCATCAATGAGGCACAGGGTTCCCATTCTGTCTACTAAAGCATTCTGGGACCCCAAAGGAGCTCATGAATACGTAAACTTCTTGTAAACTGCAAAACATTTCATAATAAATAAATTTTGCTTACAGAAATCAAGAGGACTCATTTTCTGGTGATATAAGAACAGAAAGTGATGGCCACATTGGTCTACACTGTCATTACATCCTGGCTGTGCCTAGCTAGCAGTGTTCATCACCGCTGCAGGACTCTTCCTCAGCGAAGGCACTGGTGTGTACCAGAAGACTCCAGGGACGCTCCTTGCTCTCCTTGTTTCTTTGACTTTCCCATGCAGCTATAGCCAGGGAAACTTTATCATCCCCTCCTCAACCTCTACCATCTCCAGTTCTCCCGAGTGGGATCCCAAACACCTGTTCCTAGAATGGCAATTGCTGCAGTATAAAAATACTCCTCTCCAAGGAGGTTACTCTTCTGTGTGTAATTGTGCTTAGGAAGCTCCCCAAACTGATTTGTCTCTTCATTTCTGAATGCCTGCTGTTCATCTGCTGCAAAAGAAAGGAGATGCATATAGCAGACGTAAGCAAGACTTTGGGGGAGTAGGGGAAGGGGAGGATTTCTCAACTAATGTTAGCGCAAGCCAAGTGAAGAATATGAATTTATGTTTGTAGGAAACATGATAAAATTATCAAATGTACATGATTGTTATATAGAATTGTGACATATCAGATAAGTTGTACTTGTTCTACAATAACTTAAGGCAAAAAAACCCTAAATCTAAATCGTGCAGCCATTAAATTGAGAACTGTATTTCGCCGCCTGCTGTGCAAGCGCAAGGACCCAAGTTCAGTCCCCAGTACCAAAAAAACAAAAAAAACCCCAAAAAACTAGAAACTAAATTGAGAAGTGTAAAACTACATGTATTGAAATGAAAAAGGTGACTTTATGACCTTTAAATATGAAAAACATTGCAGAATAATATGTATTCTGTATCTTAGTTTTTATAAAATAAAACTATATAGATGTGTGCAGAGCAAAGTATATAGAAGACATCAAATTATTAACAGTAAGAAGTGGAATGAGAACTAAAATAGCAATTTGAATTTTAATTTATATTTAATTTTGTTTTATGGTGAATTTTTTAAAACCACAAAAATCATGATTTTTTTTAATTAAATGAGAGAAAAAGAGGGAATTTATGAGGAAAAAATAACTGAGGAAGAGCATACATGGCTTTTGGTGAAGTTTACGTCACTAGCATGTGCAAGGCACCACTGTGACCTTCTTTCCTGGCCCTCACTTCCTGAAACTATTTTGGTGACATGTTTGACATGCTGTCTTTGAGGGCTTAGTGGGAGACAAGAGGGGGTTATCATGGAATAAAGGAAAAAGAGAACCCAAGCAAAGACACTGAACAAACAATTCAAAGCATATTTCTGAATCTTCACATCAATTTAGGTATTATATATTTTTGTACTAGCAGATTCAATTCTCTTATTTTCTCCCCATGAAAGTCAAGAATTATAATACCGTACACCTCCTAATCTGGTCAGTTATGTAATAATAAAAGATGATAAAATATTTTATTAGTTTGAGTTCCCAAATTAAAAAAATCTTTGTATAAATACCAATAATTATCATTATAATTATTTTAATTAATAATAATGATTATAGCCACATTACTGGGATGTTTGTAATATGAAACATTATATTTCCCTGTCTTGATCTTTTTTGAAAATATTTTTATTAGTACATGTCTGCAGTATATAATGATTACATTTATAGTGGGGAGTTCACACTCGTACATAACACATCTTAGTTCTTTTTTTATTTCCCTTCTCCTCCCATCCCTCTTTGTTCCCTCCAGTCTTGTTCCCCTTCCCATTTTCAATGCTCTATTTCCATTTTTTCTTCAGTTCTCTTTTTTAATCTCTTTTTCCTTTCTTCCCTCCCCCTCCCTGCATTTAATTCCCTTTTTCATTTGAAAAAGATCTCTTGATTTGCTATCGTTTATCCTTTATTTATATTTTGGGTATCTCACATAAGAAAAACAATGTGATATTTAAACTTGTATGTCTGATTTATTTCACTTAACATTATGGTCTTGAGCTGCTGCATCCATTTACCTATGAATGGCTCGAGTTTATCCTTCTTTATAGCAGAGTAATATTCCATTGTATATGAATAGCACATTTTTTTGTATTAAATTCTTTTATTGGTACATTGTAGGTATACAACATAATTACATTTCTCATTGGGAATTGTACCTTTATATAATGCATCTTGGTTCTTATTTTATCCCCATTCCTAGCCCTCCCTTCAC